CATAGCTGTCTTCCTTTTCTTCAAACCTACATAGCACCGCACACACCTTCTACCTCCTTAGATTCTATCCAAAAATGTAACTGTACAAATAATTCCCAAGGTCCAATTTATATATCAGCTGATCTCTATGCCTGTGTTGTTCACTTTGCAGATTTGAGACTTTACTCAGAAGACTATAAGAGAGGTTTCTAATTTTTGTGAGTTAAATATGTTCTTGTTTCTGTTAGCACAGCTAAGTATGTATAACTGATTTAATTACTCCTAGTGGATCAACATAGGCCTAACCTTGGGAGAAGTTAAGAGCTTTCTAGGCTGAAAAATAATTTTGGTACAAGGTTACATTGCTATTAACTGGCCATGGACAAATTTAGATTGAAACTGAGAAGATTTCTAACTATCATAGGAAGGGCATTTTGAAATGCACTTCTAAGTAAAGTGGTGGTAGCAAGGAACCTGCATTTGTTTAAGACTCAGCTGGATAAAATGTGGAAGGTTTGTAATGAAGAACAGGGAGTTCTGGCACACCAATTGGTGTTTGAGATATGGAGCCTTGTAGGTAGGTCTTTGGTGAGAAATGCATCTAGTAATCCCATGCATCAGGGCTTTTCTGGTCACTGGTTAAGGCTAGGAGGAATTTTTTTTTCCTGCTGTGAATGCTGCTGGTTTCTGCAAGGTCTCTTTGCTTGCCTTTGAGAAGTTGGGAAGATGGCCGCAGCTGAAACTGCAGGTTTTAGATGGAGATGTGCTGTGTTCCTGCTGGTACTTATAAACCCATGGTTTCCTGGCTAGTGGGGCTTGTTTTGTTCAGTCGTACCAAATGCTAAATTTGGGGTCAAGAATGAATTTATCCCCTAGGGCAGATATTTTGGTGGGAACAGAGATTGACTTCTGTAATGTGGGGAAGGATTCTTTTTCTAAGATCTTCCCTGGAGACTAGCCAGTTGTTTCCCTGTCAGTTCAAAGCCTGGGTATTACCAGTACCTTCCCAACTTCCAGCATGTATTGTGCCTGTAGTGGTAGGTAAGGGTGTGAAGTGCTAACTTTGGGGATTCCTTTGGTTAACAATAGCTTGTAAATGCAGGGGACTAGACTGAATTACCCCTTCCAATCCTATGTTCCTATGAGGATTCATTTACTTGCAAAACACAAGCATTTCACAGCAAACTGGGTCATCTGTATGGACAGTACACAGCAAGTTGTGAATGTTGCTGAAGGACAGGTAACGAATATTAATTCATAAAAGCAAGGTGCATCTCGAATGTGTCACTGAGGTCATATTTTGTCTGAAGTCAAAAACATGGAACTGATGGTCTAATTTGATATCCTTAATATTGGTGATACTTCATGAGAAGGAATGAAACAAGCCTGGGTTTCAGGTACTACACTGAGTTTTTAATAGCAGCAGATATGAAAGATGCACTTTTTTTTCTAATCTGCCCACATTTCATCCAGAAGCCATTGAGGAAGAAAGGAAGCTTGCAATGAAAATTTGAGAGAATGGAACTGCACTGTAACATCTTGATAAATTCTCAGTTGTTGGAAGTCAATCAAACTTCTCCAGTTTATTGAAGATGCTGTGGGGTGCGGGAGCAGCACTTCAATTTGAGCAGCTCCAAGAGCTGATCTAATTAAAGTGCCTTTGCATCTCTTGTACTGGCATCCCCATGGTTAGGTAGCAGTAGGAGCACTTGAACTGAAGATGGTTAGGCGAGTTTTAAATAAAGAGCTCCCACCACCATTTTTAAGCATGGGGATGCTGATACACGAGATGCAGGAGCCTGCTGGAGCACAGCAATTGCCACACACCAGCAGCCTCAATTAATTGAGTCTGCTCTGACATGCTGGAATTCCACTGCATCACCGCAGCAGCCTTCCTGCTCATATATAGGCTCCCTAACTGATTTATTTTCAGCACCTTAATTATGGTGGGGAACTTTTTAGTCCCAACCTTTTTAAGCAGTTGGCAAAGATTTGGCTATAACTTGGGCTACAAGGGCTCATTTCTTCCCCCCACAATTAAATGCATTTCATGTAAGAACAACAACATATACAACTGAGAGCAAGACAACTTGTCAGTTCTCTTTTCTCAGCTGTATGCAGGATTGATTTTCAGATGAATATTATTAGAAAACTAATATCAGGAGTTAGTTTCCCCATTAATACTCAAGAGCCTACGTTGATTTATTGCAGTGCTGTTTTTGCTTGGTAGTCTAAACTCACAGTCATGAATCAAAGTTTCCCCAGCATTCAGGGCTGGCCTTCCATGAGCAGGGCTGGGCAAAACGTGGCCTGCGGGCCAGATGCGGCCCACCAGGCCATTACATCTGGCCCACGGGACCACTAAAAATTTTAGAAAATTAATATTTATCTGCCCCTGGCGGCCTCTCATGTGGCCCTTGATGGCTTGCCAAAACTCAGTAAGTGGCCCTCTGCCCAAAATAATTGCCCGCCCCTGCCTTAGAGCCTTTACTTCAAGCAGGCAAACTTATAATGAGAAAACAATAGCTGGTATTTTGTCATGTTACTCCTACAGCCTCTAGGATATGACCCCATTGTAGTCAGCAAGACTTCCTTTCCTGTCCCTGACCCCCTCAGTTTACTTTTCATGTTTTTAAATCTAGACCCAGCCAGAGAGCAGGTACTCCTTATCTGCACCCAAGATGTTAGGCGATAAACTCCAAGCTAACCCTTACCTTAGGGTTAAGGGCGCTGAGAAGGCTTCAGGCAGAAGTTTGACAATGAAGAAGGGAGGAGAAGACTAACACATTTAAAAAAAAAAAAAAGTATTGGTTTCTGTCCTCTTCTTAAACCTTTCTGAAATGATGGATGAAAGACAACTCTTCCTATGTGCCTTTGAGTAGCAGGGTGATCAGCTGCCTTATTTTATTTGTTTAATCCTGGATCCTCAAATCTCCCTAGCGTGTTTCTGTGACAGCCCAGATAGAAGAAACACCAAACTTCTTCTTAATTGCATTATTGTCTCTTTCAAGGTGCCTTCTGAAATCACATTATACCATGTTGCCTTTGTTTATTGCTTTACATTTTGTTTTGTAGCACTGCTTGTTCCTCCTAATACAGTGGTTGGTTTGCTGTCACCAATTTTGGCAATACTGAATCACTGGAATGTTCATATTAATGCAACACTTTCATCAGTATCATTTCAGGTATTCAATTTCATATATAATGTCCAGGGAAAAAATACTTACTGGATGCAGTGGAATCTGGATGTTTCTTGGAGCTAGGTTCCTAACTTCCCCCTGCAAAGATGAGTTTGTGATGTATTGCTGCAGAGGTATGCAGAACTGCAGCAATCAGCTGCACAAAACCATTGAGATACTCCAGCTACTTGCTGTGGCTTTCATTTCAGAGGGTGCAGCTTCTCTGATCATCTATGCAAGACCAATGATAAGCTTCAGCTGAGTGAGAAAGCAGCCTCCTTAGATGTAAAAGTAGCAGCGAACAGCTGAGGGTCTTGTCATTGATTTGGCAGTCTGACCTGAACTACTTGGAGAGGAGTGATCTGGGTTCTGCTGTACTTGGTAGCCAGGGAACTAGCCTTCTCAGGCTGGCCAGTAGAATGGATTCAGGGAGAGAGTGAGACTAGGGCTGGAGTAATGGCTAATTGAAATGGAAGGTGCAGATGTTCGTAATAGGGTATGTATTACTCTGTGGCTCTTGGGTATCTAATACATTCTTACAACTACCACCTTCCTTTAGTTTTTGGAAAGAACTTCATATATGTTGGAAGTGTGTATTGTGCATATAATGGGTGTAAGTGACCATGTGCATACCTGCACACTTCTCTCTCTCCCTTCCTCCTGAATGGGTAGGGTTGTCTCTCTGAAGGTCCCTTTTTTCTTTTTGGTAAAAGTTTTAGTGTTGTAGAGCAGCAACAAAAGTTAAGGCTCTTTACAGACCATGTCTGTGGAAGGCTTAGAAACTGCAATCTAAATGACAGGCTTGACAAACAATTAAAAGTATTATGCAATGGAAGAAGGAGAAAAGGTGAAGTTAAGTAGGTTATGGAAATATGATCAGTTGGTTATTTCCAGTGCTTGTTTAGCTTCTGCTAGTCAGAGGGAGAGTCATTGGCAAGGTCTCTCTCCAGATGCAGGAAAACAGTTCTGTACTAGTTCACTTTTTAGATCTTCTGTATTGAAGGGGTTAGAGATGAGCACAAGCACATATAATAATAAAATAAGCATATAAATGAACATACATAATAAAATAAGAGATTCTGCAAGAATTGATTAATCTTGTTGCTTTCCCCTCAAAATTCGCATCCCAGACCATTTCCCACAAAACCTTGGTGATATTAATACTGTTGAAGATGGTGAGGCTGTATCTGATTACATACATTGTGAATGTCTGTTGATATATTCCCAGTACCTATTTGCAAATTTCAAGTCCTCCTCATAGAAAGGAGCTTTTATGCAGGGTGTTTCAAAAAGTTAAGCGAGGCATTTTTGTGATTTACGAGTATAAAAACTGCTGTGCATTATGCCTTCTTCCTGACATCCTGGTTGCTATAGTGCACTGATCTATTTGTGAACACATAGAAGATCATTGCTGTAGTTAACTGAAACAGTGTTTCCTGGCCATAACTTCCTGGGCAATCTTTCCTTCTGGAGTGCTGACTTAAGCTCTAACTAATTTAATTATACTTCTTGGATCTCCGGAAGTGAAATATAACATCAGCCTCAGGTAGTTTGTAGCTTTAAACCAACCATTTTTAATAATATTTAAAATAGTTTTTCTATTTAAATGTGTCCAATGCATGACTGTTATTCACAGTAGGTTCCAGTGCTTCAGCCATCTTTTTAACAGATTGCCTAGTTGTGTAGTGGGTGATAGCATTGTCCTGTGTTTGCTTTCAGAATGTGTATTCTCACTCGCACATTTTCATGCACCTGCCCAGCCAGGCAAAATATAGGAAATGAAAGAGCATTGTTAGAATTTTGTCTGAACTGCTGTGTTTCTCTCTCTCTCTCTCCCTGCAGGTGTGAATGAAACAGAGTCTCTGCAGTATTTAGTGTCCAGTTTTACTGGCTTTGAAGAACAGCGGCATTGACAATGCCACCTCCTGCTGATATAGTGAAAGTGGCTATAGAATGGCCAGGTGCCTTCCCCAAGTTAATGGAAATTGATCAAGTGAGTGCTTATTTATCAATGCTACCATGTATGTATGTGTACAGGAGTGTATTTGTATGTTGAAAGGTGTATGCTTGTGCATACCTGTGTGTTTACTTAAAGGCACGTATAGGTTTATCTGAATACCTGCTGTATAAAATGTGTGTTGCTTTTACTTTAATACTTCTTTTGACACATCGGCTGTTTTTCTGCCTATGACTTAAATGAGACATTCATTAATTTATTCTGTCATCTACTTAACAGTTGTGCCTCAGCTTGCTCATCTGTAAAATTGTGATAATGTTGCTTTACTTATTAATGTAAATTGCTTGAAGATGAAAAGCACTCTATTAATGCAAGGTATTGTTATAGTAGATAGCTGCAGCAGGCTTTAATTTCTGGATACCTGATTGGTAGCATGCTGTGTGGACAAGACAGTTTTGTTGTTCTACCCAGATGTCACTGAGGCAGTGACCTGTTCAACTGGATGACTATAGCTCTAAGTGAGCAGTAGCTCAATACATAATATGCTGTCAGGAAAATGCTTTTTAAATTTGGACACAGATGGGCTGAAGGGATCCAGCAACAGAGGTGGACTGTTATAAGGCACTATATAAAGAGAAACCTATTGCCTGTGTAGAATAAAAATATTTTGTTGCAGTATATTTGGAACAAAACTAGAGGGAACTTACTTGAAACCTATAGAATTGGCATGGTTGATGTGTGGAACTTGCATAAGATGCTAAATATGTACATATATTAATATTAAATGTGACCTTGTTCAATATATTACCATTCATTTACAGCTATATGCGAAATCATGTAATGTCACTTCTATAGAAAGCCACATGGTGAAAAGCCATGTGGTGATCATTTCAGGCAAACGAAAATGCTTCAGAATTTTTCACAATACATTTAATCTCTGATGCCTCCAAACACTTCACTAGCTTCTTAAATAAATGTGTTCTGCTGAACTGGGATACTAATTCTTTGCTTAATTTTACCCTACCCTACTTCTCATCAATTCCATTGAGATATGCAGCTATCAGGCATGTCTGCTGTCATTGCAGAAAAATATAGTACTGTAAAATGGACAAAATAATGACATTCATAACTGCTTCCATTAAAGTCAGTTACCAGTGTTTTGCTCTTTGGAAATTCAGTAAATCAGACCTCGAGTTGTTGCTGCTGAAATCTTTATCTTTCTCTTTTTTTTAACATGACTCCTGCACATCAAAATCCCCTTCCTTGACTTCTGAGAGAACCTTTGCCTTTTTAATTATTTATGTTACAGATGCGAAACATGGTGCATTAATTAACTGAGAAAGGAATGTCTCAGTGATAGTGCTGCAGGTATTGAAAAACTCAGTCCCCCAGGAACAATATGGATAAAAATGGAAAAATGTAATTCAATCTTCTGTTGAGTAACAACAAAGGAAAACATATCCCGATGTTGGATTCCCAGAATAGAGGCACCGAAATTAAAGAGGCACTGAAATGGCGAGAATCGCACATTAAGGTGTTTGTCTACAGTTGCAAAGATACTTTCTAACTATTCTTTGTAATAATGTTTGGAGGCTTCAAACAAGATCAGTAGGGCTGTGTGAAGCTTTGTTTCCTGATTCGACTCAACAGAGATTCAGCCGGATTCAGTGGCCGAATCTCTGAATCTGAATCAAATCAGAGGACCCTTTAATTTCTCTGAATCAAATCGGAACCCTCTGGATTGGTTTGGACACAGACACAGCTTTTAATGTTTTTTCTGTATACCTCTAGATAGCACGTGGCTCTTGAGTGCTGCGATGCTGGGGCTCATGGAGTGTCCCACAGAAGTGCGGGGGGCTCCCTGGTACACTCGACAGCAGACCCAGAAGTGGACCAGAAGCACTTCCTGTCTACTTCTGGGTTTGCCAAGGAGCAAGCATGCCCCCCCCCCATACACCCTTCCCCCGGCTTGGTTACTGGGCTGGCAAAAGGTGGAAGGAAAGAGAGGCACAGAGGCAAGTGATTTGCCAAAGGTCAGGTCAGTGGGTAGAACCAGGAATAGAACCCCAGGTATCTCTAGTCAGTCTGGGGCTCAGTCCAGCAGACCAGGGATTGGTAATGTTGTTTCTGGTTGTAGGCCAAATGACCCAGCTCAGATCAAAGGTGGACTGGTGCTAGGGCCTGGCTGCCACTGCTAATGCTGCTTCTTGCCACCACTGCCACTTTTTCCTGCTAGTGCTTCTCTCTGTCTCCCAGCTACAGTGCAGGATGGGCAAAGTGCCTGGCCACATTGTGGCATGGGTGAAGCACCCCCATTGCCAAATGCTGCTGAAACCCCTGTTCAGCACACTAGACCTAGTGGCTCTCAAGCCAGATCCAGCTTAGCAGCCTTAGGTTTCAGTAGATGTTACCTTTCTGCAAACTGTTAAAAACCCATCTGGCTTGCAGAATTAATCTGGTTGAATAGCTTTTTGGTCCTGTTTATCACGTGGAGACATGCACACAACTTATCTTCAAGACAAGGAAGTATGTAAAAGTGTGGAGCTGTTGTTGCAAATTGCTCATCCTGTTAAGTCATAAACTTTATGGCAGGGACTTTGTATGGAGAGCACCTAGACATTTTTGAGCACTATGGAATTATAAATAAAGAAAATTGAGAGAAACTAGAGAAGAAAAAATTGTGCATGTTAAATTGCTTGTTTTGTCTCCTTGACAGCAGTTTGTTTATAGTCTGTTTCATAATAGCATGTACTGTATCACCCTTCCTGTGCACCCTTTATTTACATACAAGTAGAGAGTAGAAAGTGGCATAATAACAGAGAAAAGTGATTGCAAACATCATAGCAACTGACAGTATGACTTAGATGCTATAGTATCTGAAAAATATTTGAAAGCAATTTCTCCAACAATGTACTGAATTTCAAGTTTAAACATCCCTCTTGAGAGGACATCTTCAGGGCTTCATATGCTGTTATACTCTAAGGTCAGTAATTGTGTTATATGTCTCTGTTCCTGGGAAATTGATATTAATAATAATCACCATCATAAGAAAACGTTCAGCACATGGATGAACATGACTTGCTGGGGAGGAATTGGGGAAATAATGCCTTACCAACCTACTAGGGTTTTTTGAGGGTGTCAATAAGAAGGTGGATCAGGGTGATCCAGTTAACCTACGATATTTGCTCTTCTGAAAAGCCTTTGACAAAGTTCCCCTTCAGAGGCTCTTAACTAAATTAGGTTGTCATAGGATTACAGGGAATGTCTACTTGTGGATTAGAAATTGGATTAAAGTTATTTCTATCTTCTATACTTGTCCAGAGTGAATATAAATAGTCAGTTTTCAGGGTGGAAAGAAGTAAACAGCGGTGTTCCCCAGTGATCTGTGTTAGGACCAGTACTATTTAACATATTTATAAATGATCTGGGAAAGGGGGCGAGTAGTAAAGTGGACAGATTTGCCGATGACAACAAACTATGCAGAGTGGTAAAGACCAAGATGGACTGTGATGAACTACAGAAGGATTTGGCACTATTGAGCAAGTAGGCAACTAAATGGCAGTTGAAATTGAATACAGATAAGAGTAAAGTGATGCACCTGAGCAATAATAACCCAAACTCTACCTACACTGTGATGGGCTCTACATTAGCTGTTACCACACAGGAAAGAGGTCTGGGAGTCAATGTGGACAGTACACTAAAAACATCAACTTGGTGCTCAGCTCAGAAAGGCACACAAAATATTAGGGATTATTCAGTACAGAATTGTGAACAAAAGTCAAAGTATCATTATGCTGTTTTAGGCTAAGTACAGATGGTCAAAAAGCCTGAATTGATTTAGTCTTCGCATGTTAGTCTTAAATGCAGAGATCATATTGAAACAGAAGTGAACAGACATTTACCTTTGAATCAGGAAATGCAGCCACATGCCTGCAGTGGCTCATGCCAGAAGCCAGGGATACTAGAGCATAGCTCTCTGGCACGTAGCCAGCATGGGCTGTGTGTTTGCTTCCTCTTCCTGCTGTCCCTGAAGTTGTTGGGATTTGTAGTCCAGACTTCCAGCAGCAGGACTCTACAGGATTGCTCATCACTTCCTCTTTCTACTTCCAGATGCCTCTGGGATTTATAGTCCAGTCACAGCCAGCAGTAGGTGTGAATGGGGGAAGGGGTGTTTAAGCCCCCTCAGTGGCTTTTCCAGACCCCAGCTGGGGTTTGCCTGCTGCATCCATAGTCCTCACTGCTCCAGCTAGGGAGCAGAGAGGTGGGGCTAGCACTGTTATCTGGAGCAGACAACACAGCTCAGCCCATGGCTGGAAAGCATATTGGGGTGCTGGGTGGGCTGTGATTTAACTTGAACCAGGAAGGGGTCTGGGACAGAAATGTTATAAAACTGTTTGACCCAAATCAGTTAACTGATACTGCATTCAACCAGGTTTATCTTAAGCCAGTTTCAGCTGTTTTGAAACTGATTTATGTGCACTGAGCTTCTGTTCTGTTACAGGTTTAAAAAAGTTTCTGACCACTGGTTTAAACTGGTGTATGTGTAATGTCTGCCCCTAGTCTTATAAATCCATGGTGCACCCATACCTTGAATACTGTGCCCAGTTCTAGTTTCCACACCTGGAAAAGGATATAGAAAAACTAGAGAAGGTGCAGACAAGGGCAACAAGGAGACTAAAGAGACTAGGCCTATTCAGTTTAGAAGAGAGCTGCTTAAGGGCAAGACATGATGAGAGTTTGGGATTTCCTACACCTTAAATGCTGGAGGCTGCAAGTGAGAGAACAGTGCAGAGAAAACCCTGGTCTTGCCCACTTTACTCTCCCTTTCAACGTCTACTCTCTGCCTTTGTGTGACACAGAATATTGGGCAGAAAGGTGTACCTATGGTGTGACCCAGTAAATGACTGTGCTTATGTGGTTAATGGCTTGTCAAGAGGCTTGATGTATCTATTTTTAAACATGTGAAGTCTCGCTAAACTTCATGAGCCAGGATCTTGGTTTTCTCTGTTTAAAAATCCCAAACTCTCTGATTAACA